TTACTTTTTATGCCCCCAGCTCATGGAATAGGCTTTAGGCCACCTTGAAATTAGACTTGTTGTTCGCCATTGGACATGTGAGAGTTGTGTTTGTTTTGATTAATCTTTTTGTATTTATTGTATTGATATTATGATCTTACACAATTTAATACACAATGTATGTTGATGTTCACAGGGCTCCCTTGTAAATGAGACCCTGGTCTCAATGGTAACCCACCCTGTATATAAATAGTGAAAAGAACAGGGCCCAAAATCGATCCCTGCAGCACACATTTCATAATATTGAGGAAACTAGATTTGTCAGTAAGCACACATTGTGTCCGGTAGATAGTTCTTGAACCAATTGCAAGATGCCTGATCTAGGCCTATTTCAAACAACCTTTGAACAAGTAAGAAATGGTCAACCATATTAAATGCCTTTGACAGATCCATAAATAAGGCAGCACAATGACTTTTATGATCTAAACAATATAGCACATCATCTAAGACAAGTGTAGCCGCTGTTACAGTGCTATGTCCAGGACTAAAACCAGATTGGGTGCTCATTAAGTATAGAATGAGAAGTTAAACAAGTTTTAAGCAAAGAGTTGGCCAGGGACTCTAAAACTTTGGCAAGGCAAGATAGCTTGGAAATTGGACGGTAGTTATCCAAGTCAGAAGGATCTCTGCCTTTGTGTAGGGGGAGGACTTGTGACGTTTTCCAGATCTTAGTCATAACCCCAGAAACAATTGTCAAGTAAAAAATATAGGTTAATTATTTTTCAATAAGGAACTTAGTACATCATAGACATCAACTGGTTGAAATGAAAATGAGGAATGTGTATCTGGGAATATATAATTCTCTGCAACCTGGCTCAAGGTGAGTAAAGAACTCCCTCTACTGGAATCAGAGTTTTCAGAAGCTATTTTATCAAATAGGTGGCCCGCTAAGGCAGAGTGGTTATTAAAAGCACCACAAATGTGCATCTTATCTGTTATGGGACCAGAGGCTGTCATAACCTGCTGGGGTAATGAGGGGGTGGAGTTTTGTTTCAGAGATTTGACTACCTTCCAGAAGGCAGCTGGATTCCCACCATTCTCAGATACACAGTTCAATAAGTATATCGATTTTGCTTTTCAAACCAGGGATAGACATCTATTGTTTAAGTGTCTGAAGGACTGCCAGTCAGATGTAGAATCATTCAGCCTAGCCTTAGCCCAAGCTACATTTCTCTCCTGAAGTTTCTCTGATAGTTCATGTGTGAACTAGGGATTAGCTCTATCCTTTACCCCAAGTTTCCTGAACGGTGCATGCTTATCTGCTATAGAGTTGAGCAAAGAAGTAAAACAATTTAGGGCCTGATCCCGAGTCAGATATCTGACAATCTCCCATTCACACAATCCCAGATCAGACAATAATTGTTGCTCATTGAAATTCTTATAATTTCTCTTTGTAATAATGCAAGGGTGAGATTTAGGGAGCTTTGCATCTCTTATGCAGGCAACGGGACAGTGGTCACTGAACTCATTAGCAAAAATTACATTGGCTGTATACTTATGAGGGGCGTTTGTCAAAATAATATCTAAAAGAGTATATTTTTCAGGGTCTTTCAAGTTTGAGCGGGTCGGTTCAGTTATCAGCTGAGTTAGATTTGAGGGAGAGGTTGTTTACCTGGCACCACACCGTCAGAGTGCCTACCTCCTCTGTGTAGGATGATAATCAGGCCTACTACTGTTGTGTAGTCAGCGACCTTGATGATGGAGCTGGAACTGTGTGAGGCCACGCAGTCGTGGGTATACAGGGAGTACAGGAGGGGACTGAGGATGCACTCTTGTGGGGCCCCCGTGTGGAGGATCAGTGTAATGTTGCCTAACTTCTCCACCTGGGGGTGGCCCGTCAGGAAGTCCAGAACCCAGTTGCATAGGGAGGAGTTCAGTCCCAGGGCTGTGAGATTTAAGGTGGCATTCCTCTTGTCCAGGTGGGTAAGGGTAGTGTGTAGTGCAATGGCGAATGCGTCGTCCGTGGATCTGTCGGGCTGTAGGTGAATTGGAGAGGATTGAGTGTGTTGGGGAGGGAGGAGGTGATGTGGTCTTTGACTAGCCTCTCGAAGCACTTCATGATGACGGAGGTGAGTGCTACGGGTCGGTAGTCATTCAGCTCAGTTACATTCCCTCTCTTGGGCATGGGGATGACAGTGGACATCTTGAAGCAGGTGGGGATAGCGGCCTGAGCTAGAGAGAGCTTGAAAATGTCAGAAAACACAACAGCTAGCTGGTCTGCACATGCTCTGAGGGCGCGGCTAGGGATGCCGTCTGGGACGGCAGCCTTGCGAGGGTTAACACGTTTGAATTACTTACATTCGTCCTCCATGGACACCGTAAGCACATAGCCCTCGTTGTCCTCAGGGGCTCTCCTCAGCAGCTCAGATTCATTTTGCTTGAAACGTGGAAAAAAAGGTGTGTATCTCGTCTCACTAAGACCCCCCCCCCCCCCCACATCTGCCTCTCCATCAGCGTCTTAGTTTTCTACTCTCCGGTAGGACTCTCAGGCAACCTGGCACCTCACCGAAGAAGCTAGACCATTGTTCTGCCATCTCCGGGAATTCGGGAAGGTCGGGTGGATGGTGAGTACTCAGTGATTCATATTCCAATAGTTCTACCCGGGTGTATGAAGTAATGCAAGAAAAAACTGGGTAAGAACATTTGAGAAACACACTGGCTGGTGAGCATTGTAGAGGGAACCAGAAAACACGTAGGTGTTCATGAGAGTCTTTCAGAAATGGGGTCATGGCTACTACGCGAGTGAAGAGCAAAATAATCCACTAGGCTATACTGTGGCCTACATATGGTGCTTTCAAGACAACTGGTAACTTGGGGAAAAAACGAGGTCACATCATGAAGTCAGTGATCTTCAGGTTGAAACATCAGAGCTCTTGAAAGGTAGACTTGGAATTCTGAGTTGGATGACCATTCAAAACTAATTTTCCCAGTTGGAGCTTGTTGTCTTAAAAACTCGGAAGTCGGAAGTCAGAGATTTCTGAGTTCCGAGTTCACAGTTGTTTTGAACACGGCAATAACATGCTAGCATAATGCAATGACAGTCCTGCTAATAGATTAGCAAACTCAACTAATGACCCTCTGGGCAAAAACTGGTTGAATCAACATTTTTTCCACGTCATTTCAACCAAAAACGTAAATGTGATGACTTTGAATCAACGTGGAAAACTGATTGGATTTGCAAAAAGTCATCAACGTAAGGGAATTTAGTATTTTTTTTCACCCAACTTATAACCTAAATCCAATGACAGGGTGACATTTTATGTTGATTTCACGTTGAATTCACATTACTTGACAACTCAACCAAATGTAAATCAAAACTAAATGTTGAACTGAAGTCTGTGCCCAGTGGGGAGCACTCACCTTAACTTAGCTAGCATTTCCTAGCCTAATTGTAACCAAATATCCAAACAGAGATTCAGTGGGAAAAAAATCTGACATTGATTGATTTATCAAGATGAGTCCTCTGCTTGTCTCAAAGCAGCTCAATGTCACTGTCCCATTCAAAACGGTGCTTAAATTATCACCTAGTTGACAACACAATTGCTTTACATTTTTTATACTGGTTGGTTGACTTTGGGAGTTTCACGTAGGTCTAACCACAGCTCTATGAACTAACTAGCAGTGCACTCAGTTGACTAGAATAGTTTTACACCATTGCAGCTGCGCAAAAGATTCGCGGCTGACCCAAAATCATTCGGTGCCAAAGCCCCTGAAGCCTGGTCCTGGTGACGTCCCATCATCAATGATGTGTTGAATCGAATAATGCATCAAAGAGATGTTAAAGGCCCAATGCAGCTGTTTTTATATTCATTTCAAATCATTTCTGGGTATTAAGTACCTTACTGTAATAGATTTCCATTCAAATGGGAAAGAATTGCTTTTAAGCAAAACTATTTCTCAAGCAAGGATTTTGCTAGGACTGTCTGGGAGTGGTCCAAGTGGAGGGGAAACTGAAAATGATAGGTTTGGAACTCTTGTTATTGGTCTATTAACCAATTTACTGCATGGTGATGTCACCATGGAAAGTCGAAACTCTGCTGATTAGAAGGTCCTGTGTAGAGTGTATTTTCAACCAGCAACTATCAGGAAATAACACGGATTTTTTTTTTTATCACACTTATACAGTGTTAGTTTCATCAGCTGTTGTACAATATGATACAAAACACAGGAAAAACTGAATTGTGACTGCACTGGGCCTTTAAAGGTGAAAGTAAAGAAAATATGTTATGAATAAATAAATTACAAGAGGACAACTCGAAATCAGACAAAAATAGCTATGTATTTACACAAAATAAAGAACATTTGGACTTTAAAACCCAGTTATGCACATATATAGCCTACATTAGTTTATTCTCACATACAGAAATATATTAGCTTACACAATCAATTCCCATGTCTTGGGAATTTAGTCATATATTTGTGAGAGTAACCACCTATGACTTCTACACTTTCCACAGAATTCTGCATGGCCATGTCATGATCCATGGGGTCAAAGAGTGAACCCCCCCATGTTTCCAAATGTTCAATCCCTTACAATGCAATGCAATCCTGATCTGATCCCATTTCCAATCCCTATTTCATGCCATTAACAAAATCTCACAGCACATTGCCTGCGATCTTACAACCTGTATGTGGTACTGTCTATTTATCATACAGGTTTATGACAATGGCATAGCAGGGGTTCATTTTAACAGCATCCTCTCTGTGCAGTAGCTCAGCTGGTGTGGTCTAAATGTAACCCTAATGTCATGTGACATGAATGTCTATTTTAGCATTGCTGCCTGCTCCTCACAGGCAGAGAGAACGAGAGACTGGGAGTAGAGAGAAACCTGACACTCCCCACGACCGCAGAGGGACTAGTACGCAAACATCACCCATGCAGCCCTGCATGTGTTCCCTTGGTGCACCAAACACCAAACACAATCTGACATGCCCCATTTGTGCCATGAGGTCCAATGAGGTTAGCAGCAGGAAAGAGCTGGTCGTGAATGGAGCCTGTACTCAGCCTTGTCCTGCTCAAACAGCTTAGCCAGTGCCTCCAGGTAACAGCCATGCAGCCTGTCCACCTCAGCTGACGAGGGGCTCACATTCCTCTCCACCACTATGGGCTCTCCCACTGAGAAAGAGATGGAGGGAGGAAGGGAACGGAAGGACTGAAAGACTGGCCAAGGGTAGATGGAGAGAGAGATAGGCAGTGGAGAAAGAGAGAGTAAAAATACAGATAGGGTTCAGTTAGAGCAGAAAAGGAAAGGCAGAGGAATTACAGAATGTTAAAATGTAGTGACTCAGAGGAGGAACTTGAAAGAAAGGGAGGGGAGAGATTAAGGAAGTGGAACAGAGGGCAAGACTGAGGACAGGACACATGAGTTTACAGCTCTGAGGTGATTTGATTGGCTGTAGCCCAGTGACCCTTCACTGTGGACGGCTCTGTTCCAGCTGGTCATGATGTCCTGGCTGACCACAGCTGCTGCCACGGTTACAGTTACACATAAGACAGTCACCTATGAACCAGTTTACCAGTTTCTCATATATGTTGGCTGTTCTCTCTCTCCCCCAGTGAGCTTTCATTTTGCCATCTGGGTGATGACTAGCTGACTAGAAGAATTCCTACAATCAGAGCACTGTGACTGCACATTGTTTCTGAATGTTGTTTGTAAATAGTTTTCGGAAAATGTTTCCCCATAGACACAAAAGGGTCATATTTTAGTCTCTATTCCTCCTCGTCACCTCTCTCTTCCCATTACTCTCCACCCACATTGTCCCCCATCCCCCACTCACCGATGGTGTAGATAGGTTATCTGAAGGGCATGAAGCCCAAGCTATACTGGAAGACCCCCCGGGCGTGGAACAGAGGCAGGCTGAAGCCCAGGGTCTTCCTCATGCCCTCCTGGATGGTACGGACCAGGGAGCCCTTCGTGTTCTTTAGTTGATTAAACAGATAATTCTGCCCAAAGGAGAACACTGGCACCAGGTGAGCCCTGCACACAGGAGAGGGTGAGAGAACAAGTCCGAATTTTTACCAGCGGCATAATTCCATGTTTGACTGCAGCCTCATAATTTGACATTTGTGGTTGTTTGCAAAATCAATGTATTTCAATGTGATCTGATCCTTTTTGGAATTTTTTTGCTAAAAAATCTATGTTCCTGCCATTATTGCTCTCACTATCTCCCTCATCACTCCCAGTGTCAAGGTGTCAGTTTGATGTGGTAGGACGAAGTCAGGCGCAGGACACAGAGCTAATCGAAAATGTACTTTACTCGTAGGTAACGTAAATAACATAACCACCACGCAGGAAGGAAACAAACCCGCTCACCAGACGACAACCAAACATGAACAAACACGCACAAAATACAGTGGGAGCCAGAGGGTTAAATAGGGAAGTAATTAATACATAATGGGAACCAGGTGTGAACAATAAAGACAAGACAAGTAGAACACAGAAACATAGATCGGTAGCAGCTAGTACTCCGGTGCCGACAAACGCCGAAGCCTGCCCGAGCAAGGAGGAGGAGCAGCCTCGGCTGAATCCGTGACAGTACCCCCCCCCCCCCCCTTGACGCGCGGCTCCAGCCGTGCACCGACACCGGCCTCGGTCGGCACTCGCCTTTTGTCGCCTGATGGCCCGTTGCAGGCGTACATGGGCAGCGTTCCAGGTCTCCTCCAAGCGCCGAAACCATTCATCCACCGCAGGTGCCTCGATCTGGCTATGATGCCATGGTGCCAGGACCGGCTGATAACCTAGTACACACTGAAATAGAGACAGGTTAGTGGAGGAGTGGTGGAGGGAGTTTTGGGCCATCTCTGCCCAGGGGATGAAAACCGACCACTCCCCCGGCCGGTCCTGGCAATAGGACCGCAGAAACCTACCCACATCCTGGTTTACTCTTTCCACCTGCCAATTACTCTCGGGGTGAAACCCTGTGGTAAGGCTGACGAGATCCCCAGACATTCCATGAACGCCCTCAAGACCCTTGAGGTGAACTGGGGACCCTGATCAGATACAATATCCTCAGGTACCCCGTAGTGCCGGAAGACGTGTAAATAGGGCCTCCGCAGTCTGTAGGGCCGTAGGGAGACCGGGCATAGGAATGAGACTGCAGGACTTAGAAAACCGATCCACAATGTCCAGGATCGTGGTATTCCCTTGTGACGGTGGAAGGTCCGTAACGAAATCCACCGATAGGGGGGACCACGGCCGTTGTGAAACAGGGAGGGGTTGTAATTTCCCTCTGGGCAGGTGTCTAGGTGCCTTACACTGAGCGCACACCAAGCAGGAGGAAACACAAACCCTCACATCCTTGGCTAAAGTAGGCCGCCAGTATTTCCCACTAAGACAGTGCACTGTCCGACCGATGCCAGGATGACCAGAGGAGGGTGACGTGTGAGCCCAATAGATCAATCGATCGTGGACCTCTAACGGCACGTACATATGACCCTCTGGACACTGGGGGGGAGTGGGCTCTGTACGTAACGCCCACCCGATGTCCGTGTCAACCTCCCACACCACTGGTTCCACCAGACACGACGCCGGAAGTATGGGAGTGGGCTCAATGGACCTCTCCTCTGTGTCATACAGTCGGGACAGGGCGTCTGCCTTAGCGTTCTGGGAACCTGGTCTGTAAGAAAGTGTGAACACAAAATGAGTGAAAAACATGTCCCACCTTGCCTGGCGAGGGTTTAATCTCCTCGTGGCACGGATGTACTCCAGATTGCGATGGTCAGTCAAAATGAGAAAAGGTTGTTTAGCTCCCTCAAGCCAATGCCTCCACACTTTCAGAGCTTTAACCACAGCTAACAGCTCCCGGTCCCCCACATCATAGTTGCGCTCTGCCGGGCTGAGAAAAGAAAGCACAGGGGCGGAGTTTTGGTGGCGTACCCAAGCGCTGAGACAGTACAGCTCCTATCCCAGCCTCGGATGCGTCCACCTCTACTGTGAATGCCAAGGAGGGATCCGGATGAGCCAGCACCGGAGCCGAGGTAAACAGGTCCTTCAGGTGACCAAATGCCCTGTCCGCCTCGGCTGACCACTGCAGGCGCACCGGTCCCCCTTCAGCAAGGAGGTAATGGGAGCCGCTACCTGACCAAAGCCCCGGATAAACCTCCGGTAGTAGTTGGCAAACCCAAAAAATCGCTGCACCTCCTTAACCGTGGTTGGAGTCGGCCAAATACGCACGGCCGAAATGCGGTAAATCTCCATCTCCACCCCTGGCGCGGACAGGCGGTGCCCTAGGAATGAGACTGACTTTTGAAAGAACAGACATTTCTCCGCCTTGACGTACAGGTCATGTTCCAACAGTCGACCAAGCACCTTGCGCATCAGGGACACATGCTCGGCTTGTGTAGCGGAGTATATGAGAATATCATCTATATACACCACTACACCCTGTCCGTGCAGGTCCCTGAAAATCTAATCTACAAAGGATTGGAAGACTGATGGAGCGTTCATCAACCCGTACGGCATGACGAGGTACTCATAGTGCCCAGATGTGGTACTAAATTCCGTCTTCCACTCATCTCCCTTCCGGATACGCACCAGGTTGTACGCGCTCCTGAGATCCAATTTTGTGAAGAAGCGTGCCCCGTGCAATGACTCCGTCATACTAGCAATGAGCGGTAGTGGATAACTGTACTTGACAGTGATCTGATTGAGACCCCGGTAGTCAATGCACGGGCGTAAACCTCCATCCTTCTTCTTCACAAAAAAGAAACTTGAGGAGACAGGTGAAGTGGATGGCCGAATGTATCCCTGCCCCAGAGATTCGGAGACATATGTTTCCATAGCCGCCGTCTCCTCCTGTGACAGGGGATACACGTGACTCCGGGGAAGTGCAGCGCCTACCTGGATGGGCTGGTAATTGAGTCGCCTTCTTTTTACAGAAGGCGAGAGCCAAATCGGCATATTCGGGGGGAATGTGCATGGTTGGCCCACTCGAGCGCTCTTCCCGACAGACAGGAGATGAGGGCGGACACGCTCTCGTATCCCGAGGGATCCGGGTGGATGGTAGCCAGGTAGAGCTCTACCTGGAGCAGAAAACCCTGGCACCCGGCAGCTGTACCATCGTATGCCCTCGGGAGTGAGAGCCGAATCCCACTGGACCCAGGTGACGAAGGGGTGGACAGCGGTGTGGGTGGGGGTGTAGTTGGAGGAGGTGTAGGATAACCACCTCTCTCTCATCGCTCCATAGTGTTCAACACGCGCTCCATTGCGGTGCCGAGAGTCTGGATCATGGTCGCCTGCTGTTGGACACGTTCCTCCATTGATCCGGACGAAATTAATGTACCTGCTGACTCCATTTAAGGTGCGTGTTTCTGTCAGGATGTCAGTGTGATGCGGTAGGACGAAGTCAGGCGCAGGACACAGAGCTAATTGAAAACGTACTTTAATCGTAGGTAACGTAAATAACATAACCTCCACGCAGGGAGGAAACAAACCCGCTCACCAGACGACAACCAAACATGAACAAACACGCACAAAATACAGTGGGAGCCAGAGGGTTAAATAGAGAAGTAATCAATACATAATGGGTACCAAGTAGAACACAGAAACATAGATCGGTAGCAGCTAGTACTCCGGCGACGACGAACGCCGAAGCCTGCCCGAGCAAGGAGGAGGAGCAGCCTCGGCTGAATCTGTGACACCCAGCTCATCCTCGGCTCACACCAATCTATCTAAAATGGAATGTAGAGCGGCTACCCATAATCCTTCTGACCCGAGTGTATCCTAGTTCTGTTTTTAACAACTAAATGCCCAGTCAAATTAATGATTCTTTCAAATCTCTGAGCGGAGGGTATAAATCGGTTATTTTAGCAGGTGTGTGTGTGTACTGTAAATATTACAGTGCATTTCCTTTCCCCTCCTTTCATCTCAACACATCTGTCAATTAAAGCCCTGGGGTTAAGATTCATAGTTCACTTCATGGCCTACAGTACATTCAGTAACGGCCCTTACGGAGGAGATTTCAGTCAACATTAACATTTCTAATACTTGATTTAAAACGAGATGGTTATAGATGATGAGTAGATTGATATCAAATAAGGCAGGAAGGATGCATTTGTAAGTGTACAAGCGGACCCAGGCCCAGACAGAGACTCATCCACACCTGAGAGCAATCTTGACAAAGCCCTTCCTGTTGAGGGCCTCCAGGATAAGGCTCCCAGGCCTGGCCTCCAGGGACTCTGCCGTCCCACCAATCACTATGATTGACACATTGCCCCCTCCCTTCTGGCTCAACACATGGGTAAGACTCTTCTTGGAACAAGATACAACCCCTTAGGGGAGGTACAGCACAGTATATTTAGAACAAATGTGGGCCAGGAAAAAACTTTTATTTGAAAAGACTTCCAATATCCACAATGAAGAAATAATTGTTGACAAACTAATACTGCACTACAGTGTGCCACACAATGTTTGGACCTTGAAATGTAATGTTTGGGTCCTTCAAAATGCACTCCAGTATTTACCTAACCTTAAAAGCCCACTGATAGTGTTTAAATGAGAAAGACCAGAAGCATTGTGGTGGAATGCATCTGATGGTTATGGTTCATAAATAAATCCTTAACAAGGTTCACCTAAGGACATATGGTACTCCCGGAAGAACGGGAAGCTGAACCAGACACCGGGGGTATGCAGGTAAGGAGTCACCTGTGTATTCTGTACAGAAATTCCCAAACACTCCGGCGACCAGGATTCCGTGAGGATGGAACCACATCAGGTAGTTCCTCTCTGGGTCCAGGTCACATGTCTTAATCAGCTGACCACAGACACAGACAAGACATGAACAGTGAGAGGACAATGGATAAGACATAGGTTGAGTTCCTGCCCAACTAGATGCGCAGATGTTGCATTGCGTCAACCAATGGTTGTGTGCTACGTCATCGACTGTGCAGTCGGGCATCAGATGGTTATGTCATATGATGTGGTTAGCTGATATGTTAAATACGTATCCAGGCCTTGTAAGATCTGGCATACTTCAGCAATGTAGTTCGGGCAGGAACTCATCCACAGAATGGGTGAATGTGACAGGGGGCTGGGCCTTTAGCCATGGGATCACCATGATGTATTGGCCAATGACCACTTTACAATTGCTTAGACCTATTTGAGCTATTAATACACCAATGGGCAGTGGATAAAGAGTGGGTAAGCAATCATGCTTGCCTTGAGACAAACGTCCTCAATTATATTTTCATCATTCAGTTAATAGGCGTTTGCATACAAATTGTGTTATTGTTGAATACAAATTGTGTTATTATTAATCCAACAATTCTGAGTGTCTTTACACACAGGCTGGTCTAAATTATGCAAAGAATGGTGTAATAACCTATTACTGTTGATAATAATGAGGCTTTATATTAGTTGGCCTCCATGCATCATTAAATGCATAGGCTACACAACCAGAAAACTTCATAAGCCTACTTACATGGATGGGGAAATAGTCTCTGAAGTGTTTCCACAATGTCCAGTGACGTACCCAGTCAGACCTGCGGCCCCCAGCCTGAGGTGTGTCCCAGTCCAGGTAGAGCCACAGGACATACAGTGTAGCCACGTGCCAGTATCCATTCAACACGATCACAACATACACACAAAAACAACACTGCGCTAGACAGACAGGACAGGATGGACGTGAGGAAAAATATGGCCATCACATGAGCAAGCACTGATTTGATTTGACCCCAACCCTGGGCCACCATGGTTATGATTTGATTTGACCCCAACCTTGGGCCACCATGGTTGTGATTTGATTTGACCCCAACCCTGGGCCACCATGGTTATGATTTGCTGAAGATGAGGAAGTGCGCAGTAGCCTACCAGTTACCTCCAAAGAGAAAGCAGAAGACCCATTGAAGAACTGCAGCTGTCTGTAAACGTCGGTTGAGCGGGATATTCAAGGGTGCAAACTCTATCTTGACCATGTCTGCGGTTCCCACTCCCGAGTTCTAAAAGGGACTTGTTCCGCGGTGTCAGGGGCACAGAGCAGGGGAAGGGTCACTATCTAATGCCCCTGTCCTTGCCAAAATATTTTTATACTTAGCAGCTTTAACAAGGCGGTCATCCAAGTTCGTGGCATTTTGGCGAGACTTCATGCGCAGGACTATTCAAGTCAAATACAAATTATAGGCTATACTCATTTTTGTGTGCCTGGTCGCTTACCATACTCTTGACTTTATCAACTTCCAAAACTGCTCTAAATAGGCTGTTCTAAAAGTGATTGCTATATCAGGTTTTAGCCTACTCTGGTTTCTTTGTTCTCGCACCATCTTGTGGAAAACATGAAGTACAACCAAGGAGTTTAATTGAGGACACCCAGAGAGGAAGAGGCGAAGCGAGAGGTTTTACTCCGCCCAAACTCTGTCCACAAACATAAACGCAAAAAGTGAGGAATTTTTGTATGGAGGTCAATGAGAGAGTATCGAATTTGGTCTACAAAAATGTAATTGCTAATTTGCTATGTGAGGCATATTTGATCAAATAGAAGCTTCGTAATGGTTAGGTTGTTACGAATGCACTGATATACGTGGCATTTAGGCAACTTACCCAAAACGACTTTATATCGGAGTTGTGCCTGTTGTCATAGAGACAGTTAGAGGACTCATCATGGATATTTTAGCATAGACATTGCCATTGAGGGATTCCACCATTTTAAAGTAGTCAACTGGGTGGGGATTCCTATGAGTTGAGCGCAATCAGCCAATGAAGAAGAAGAAAATTGACTACTTTAAAATGGATATAGCATAAATAGCACTGCCCATGCTGTCACAGATACAAAAATGAGTCAATCTATCAATTCAATTCAATGGGCTTTATTGGCATGGGAAACATATATTTACATTGCCAAAGCAAGTGAAATAGATAATAAACAAAAGTGAAATAAACAATCAGAAATTAACAGCAAACATTACATTCACAAAAGTTCCAAAAGAATAAAGACATTTCAAATGTCATATTATGTCTATATACGGTGTTATAATGATGTGCAAATAGTTGAAGTACAAAAGGGAAAATAAATCAACATAAATATGGGTTGTATTTACAATGGTGTTTGTGCTTCACTTGTTGCCCTTTTCTTGTGGACACAGGTCACAAATCTTGCTGCTGTGATGGCACACTGTGGTATTTCACCCAATAGATATGGTAGTTTATCAAAATTGGATTTGTTTTCTAATTCTTTGTGTAATCTGAGGGAAATATGTGTCTCTAATATGGTCATACATTTGGCAGGAGGTTAGGAAGTGCAGCTCAGTTTCCACCACATTCTGTGGGCAGTCAAAACTTTAGTTAATTTTGGGTCAGTCACAGTGGTCAGGTATTCTACTACTGTGTACTCGGTTGAGGTCCAATTAGCATTCCAGTTTGCTCTGTTTTTTTGGTTAATTCTTTCCAATGTGTCAAGTAATTATATTTTTGTTTTCTCATGATTTGGTTGGGTCTAATTGTGTTGCTGTCCTGGGGCTCTGTGGGGTCTTTTGTTTTTGTGAACAGAGCCCCAGGACCAGCTTGCTGAGGAGACTCTTCTCTAGGTTCATCTTTCTGTAGGTGATGGCTTTGTTATGGAAGGTTTGGGAATCGCTTCCTTTTAGGTGTTTGTTGAATTGATAATTAATGGGTATTGTCCTAATTCTGCATGCATTATTTGGTGTTTTATGTTGTACACGGAGGATGATTTTGCAGAATTCCCATTTTGTGAATTCTTGGTTGGTAAGTGGACCCCAGACCTCACAACCATAAAGGGCAATGGGTTTTATAAATTATTAAAGTTTTTTTTGAGCCAGATCCCATTTGGGATGTCAAATTTCCTGTTCCTTTTGATGGCATAAAGGCCCTTCTTGCCTTGTCTCTCAGATCGTTCAGAGCTTTGTGGAAGTTACCTGTGGCGCTGATGTTTAGGCCGAGGTAGGTATAGTTTTTTTGTGTGCTCTAGGGCAACGGTGTCTAGATGGAATTTGTATTTGTGGTTCTGGCAACTGGACCTTTTTTGGAACCCCATTATTTGTGTCTTACTGAGATTCACTGTCAGGGCCCAGGTCTGACAGAATCTGTGCAGAAGATCTAGGTGCTGCTGTAGGCCCTCCTTGGTTGGGGACAGAAGCACCAGATCATCAGAAAACAGTAAACATTTGACTTCAGATTCTAGTAGGGTGAGGCCAGGTGCTGCAGACTGTTCTATTGCCCTCGCCAATTCGTTGATATATGTATATGTTGAAGAGGGTGGGGCTCAAGCTGCATCCATGTCTCACCCCACGGCCCTGTGGAAAGAAATTTATTTTCTGCCAATTTTAACTGCATACTTGTTTGTGTACTTGGATTTTATAATGACATATGTTTTCCCCCCTATACCGCTTTCCATCAATTTATATAACAGACCCTCATGCCAAAGCACGAGAAGACTTTGCTTTTATTTTGGCGTTTGTTTGTCTATCTATCTCTGGCCTATTGTTCACACCGTATCTGCCCTCTCATTAGTTAGAATGGTCCCACCTGATCTCGCCTCCTCCCGCCTGCCTTCCACTAAGCCACCTGGGGCGGCAGGTAGCTTAGTGGTTAAGAGCGTTGTGCCAGTAATCGAAAGGTCGCTGGTTCTAATCCCCGAGCCGACTAGGTTAAAAATCTGCCGATGTGCCCTTGAGCAAGGCACTTAACCCTAATTGCTCATGTAAGTCGCTCTGGATAAGAGCGTCTGCTAAATGACGTAAATGACGTAAATGACATCTCTGAAGACATGCATCTCCATTGTTAGAGCGGTCACTCTAATATCTTGTCAATATAATAGACAATCTTTGGTACACCACGCCACTTTTCAGCAAATAGGTGGGGTCTACTATAGTAGTAGGGGACTTGGTCCCGCCTACGATTTTTGACACCAGCCTCCACTGGTCTTCAATAGGGCATAATCTACCCGCTTTTACTATCACATTGTCACGGTTTCGGCCGAGGCTGCTCCTCCTCCTGGTTCGGGCAGGCTTCGGCGGTCGTCGTCCCTGGAGTACTAGCTGCCACCGATCTATGTTTCATGTTCGTTTGGTTTGGTCTTAATGTTGTACACCTGTGTCTAGTTAGTCCTCGTTAGTGTTCTATTTAGTTCTCGTTGTGTGTGTCTGTGTTTGTGTGTGATTGCGCCTCTGTTACGTGTTGGAGCTACTATTTCCCTCCAGTGTTTGGAGTGGTTACTTTGCACATGTTTTGTGCGCCGTTTATTTTGTCGCCTGTGTGCGCCTTGTATTCGCCTTCAGGCTTATTGTGCTTTTGTTGGTGTGAATTTTGCACTAAAGCCTTTGGACTGAGCCTCTGCGTCCTGCGCCTGATTCATACACCACACCCACCTTCAGCACCTTATGACACACATTCTGATTAGGCTAATTAGGCTAGGCATAATCCAGTGTGATTGTGGATTGAGAAGCCTACCATTTGATAGCCAATGACAATTGTATAACATCAATTATGTTCCAAACACCTGTAGCAATACATGTATTTTGTTATGAAGTGTTTGGTGTAACTGTCTTTAGGCCTATATAGGAAATAATTAAATCCAATTGTTAGATGCTACCAACCCCCTCCAAACCAAAACCAAACATGGAAGCATCTAACAATTTGATTTGCAGGACTGATAGATTAATTATTAATGACTAATTATTACACCCTGAAACTGTGTATAATGTGTTAGAAATGTGTGAGTGTAGGACCAGTAAAGGCTATGGCATTGAGCCACTATTTAGCAATGTGAGTAAGAGTTAGGCCAGACAACAAAGACAACTGAGAAACTAAGATAAAGAGGCCTCCCAATTTAGGGAGGGGAGAAACTGTTATGAAAACATGGTGCAGAATATTGTGAGAACGGCAATAACTGAGTAAAGCAGGGAGTAGGATATGTGTGTGTGTGTGTGTATGTATGTGTGTATGCATGTGTGTATATGTGTGTGTGTGTGAACTGAAGGTCAGTAGAGCAGTTTTAGAGTGGAAAACTACAGCCCGCCTACGGAGGGAAGGGATTTCTTTTTGTATGACGTATGAGTATAAAAGATGGACTCTGAAATTGTGATGGCAGAATTCTCAATGAATAAATATCTCTGACTATGCAGACCGGTACTCTGGCCGTTACTTAAATCCCAAAAGACTTACAACCTTTTGGGAGATGCACAGAGACACTAAAATAGTTTGTTAAATAATTCACATAACAGCTTGGTCTTTCTGAGCCGGACTCCAATACCCTGTTTCTGTCATTCCAGGTAACTCTGAAAACCGTCGACGGGCGAATGATACATTCGTAAATAGAAAGTCCTGCCCTTTGACATTAAGGGTTAAAACAGGCCAGAGGACACCTGATTAATGACAGAGACGGTGACGGAATCCAAACCTACATTGAATCTCGGCTGCAAGGATAAGGTCAGTAGTCTTTATTCATTAACTTGGTGAAATTGATTGGAGGACTTGCTAAAATATTGAAAAGTAGCAAATTGATCAATGCGTAGCCATTTTAAGTGAAATGTGGGGTTGACTGTCAGGAATTATCAAGATTACATTGTGAGGATAGACTCCTCCGTAGAGTAGGAGATAATTCTGGGGGACTAGTCAACCTGGTGGTGGGTCCGTAATGATTCACGGTAATAGGCCATTACCAAAAGAAACTACCCGGTGTTGAAATAGAAGGAACTATTAAAAGTACACCTATGGGATGTAACCTGTAAGAGATTATTGAGCAGTCAACAAATAATCCGGGTTAAACAAATACAAAAAGTACACCAGAAGGAATTAAAATAGCATGTGTGAGAAATAGAATATTAGTAGTCAAAAGTCACAAACAACTGTAGATTTTGCTGTAACTCTATCCGTTCTGGAGCCTTATAAACTCCAGGTTACCGATATAACACCAATAATCATGTAAGGTTGTATACGTGTGAGACCTAATGTTTGCTCAAAA